AACTATTTGTTCAAATGATGATATATGTTTATATTATACACAAATCTACATTTGAATAACTGATATATTCAAAATTGGGAAAACGGAATCAAATTCAAATAGAAGTTTTATTGTTTTTTCTGCTCTTTTACACACCATCTATATGATCTGCAGCTGCCAAATTTAGTCATTTCTATGTTGAAACAAAAAAATTTGAATACGAATTATCGTTGCAATCACTTCAGCTGTTTTGATGAAAAATTTTAATGAGAAAAAAAAAGTCTAGGTATTTGTATTTATAAACAGGAATAAAAATAGAAATTATTTTTTTAATCAGAATAAACTTATGAAAATTTTAAAGTAGTTTAAAATTTTTCTTTTTACTTTTAAAATTAAAATTTGTTTTAATTGGATGTAAAAATAAAATATAATTTTATTTCATAAAATTTGAATATTTCATATAGAAATTTTTATTATATTTTTTTTTTTCAGTCTGAGTTTTATAACACTTTATGTTATTTTGTAAATGGGATTATTAAGAAACAAAATAAAAACGTCAAAACGTCTTTTAAAACATCTAAAATGTATGCTTAAGCAATCAAAAAGTGAATTTTCACTATTTTTGTGAAATAATTTCGATTCTGTCAAATTTCAGCCGTGTATAATCAATCTTTTTTTTTTAAATTTTTAGCATTTAAAATTTTTTAAAAATATCTAAATAAGCCTTTCAACTAACGCTTTTTTAGCTACAGTTTAATATGAAAAAAGTAAACCTTAGTCGAAATAAGGTATCAATAATATTTACATTAAAAATTTACTATTTTATTACAAATAATTAATTAAAAAACCATGGCATTTTTATTCCATATATATGGTGAATATAAAAGTATTCGCACACCTTTATTTTTTAAAGTGTCTGGAATTTAAATTCTTGAATTAAAATTTTAAAAAGAAAATTAACTATTACATACTTTTAAAATAAGTAAATGAATAATTTTCATAATTAGAAGAAAAATTCAAATTAACTATTTATCTAAGAATTTTTCACATAATCAAAATAATTTAAAATTTTTGTTACAAATAAAGTTTATTTAGCTATCTTTTAACTTTTATCATAGTTTGCAGTCTTTGTGGCATGGATTTTACCTGTTTTAAAAGTAAAAATATAAATTCAATTTGAAATATAATTATTCAATAGTAAATTTTTTGAATAGATTGCATATTGCAAGAAAAATATGTCAATATTACTATGTTATCAAAACATCTCAAAAATAGTTAATGGGATTGATTACCTTAGATTGTGGACGAAGTTGAAGAAAATTTGGCGTGCTATGTAACACCTAAATAAAAGTGCTTAACACTGCTTATTTAAAATAATTGTTGCCCATAATGGATGAATCAGTATTGAGACTTATTTGAAAATATCATCTGAATTGTATTAAGTGTCTTTAAAGCACTCGATTTCTAAATTATTCTTTCTTATATCAATATAGATATTATGATTGAAGATACCATCGATAGTACCAAATTTCCGACGCCAGAGGAAATCATGCAGCACGAAACAAATGCAGAATTTCCTCCGTGTTGAAGAAGATGGTTTGCATTTATTTCTGTCCTTGCTTTTCATTCCCCTTTTATAACTTCATCAGATCCTAAAACGTTGAATTTACTACTACTGAAAGACTTATTTTTATTTATTATTTTTTTATTTTTCCAGAACCTAAGCAAATTTAGAATTCTTCTCGATCACGAAATATTTTCTTCTGTCAACTCTCTTAGTAACCAGCTTTTTGAGCATGCTTCTTGCACTGTACTTATTGTAGCTAAAGTGTTATTTAATAAGCACTCATGAAGTACCTCTTTATAACCCTCAAATTTTTTTCAATGGGAAAATGAATCGCCGATTATAAAAATGCGAATCAATTGTCAATTGCTGTGTCTGTGATAAGTTATTGTTAAAGAAAAGAACGAAATCTTTTAATTATTCGCTGCAAGGAAGAACGATGTCTTTTAATAATTAGCAAACAAAAATTAAAGTGTTCCCACGGGCTTGAAAGTGGCCCTCTTCTTGAAGCCGTGATAGGTCTAGTGCAGATCGAGACGTTACTGAACACATATTAACATAAAGTAATGCTTTTACTTGTGTTTATAAAAATACAGAAATACATATATGTGGTTATTAGTAATTGGAACAAGCTGTTTTTATTAAATTGCTTAATTTTTTAAAATTTTGTCAAAAGCTCACCGAATGCCTTCTGCAACATTCTTTTCTCAAACAAAATTTAATGCAAATTCTTTGCTCAATTCCTTCAGACATTTCAAAATCGCCGAAGTCAGTTTTAGCGTCACGCAAAGCCAAGCATAACTCAAACACTTAATGGATATTTTGACGTCAAATTTCACATGTCAAGGACAGTGCCAGCAACCTAAAAGAGAAAAACAAATTGAAAATCCATAAGCCCGAGAATTTTAAATTGAACATTGCTCTTACGTTTTGGACACAGTAGTATTATATATAAATATATATACTTTGATAACAACACAAAAATATACTTTGATTGTTATTTTTAATACAATCAACGAAATCAACTTCAAACCGTAGTCTCCTATTTAATATGACTTCAGAACATTGGGCGTAGGGCTGACAACCCTACCCTGTAAAAAATATTTCCTGTCAAAAACCTGCCAGTAGACAAACGGTATTTAGCCCACCATGGGACTGTTGCGCTATTGCAAAAGAAGAAGGAAAGAGTAAATACATCGACAAAAAAATAAAAAAAAATAAATAAATTTAGGTATTTTACTGTAAAGAGGCATCATAGTGGACATACCATTTTTTTCCAACTAATAGGTCTTTTTCAAAAATAAGGAAATAAAAGTACTGAAAGAAACTTCCTCCAAAATAAATCATCCTCAAGGTTTTATCAAATAAAATCTCTTGGTGAAAACGGCTGAATGGCTGAAAACTTCCGAATTGTGTCTCCCCAGAAATTTATCGATAAATTGAATTCTTACTTCGCATGATTATCCTTCATAACTTTTTGAAGCCATTGGCGAAAGCAAACCGTCCATTTACATAATAGGGGGCCATATGCGTAAAAACCAATAGCTTTCCGAGAAGAATCCTTTAGGGTAAATGAAGAAATATGCTGTGATGACCTCTCCCAATATGTTTAATCTTCGAAATGACTGTGGAGAGAGAGCAGTGATTTCTTGCTTGAGCGTCATACTGAAAATGAAGTTGTCTGGAAAAGTATTATTACTCAGACATTTCTTTTCTATTTCTATTCATACTTCTAACATTAATTTTCTTTCCTTTTGAACTTGGATTTCAAGATTGTATAAATAAATAATGTAAAGAGAATAAATTATATCGCCTATAAAATTTTGTATTGAAAGATATTTATTAATTCTCCGGGATTAAAGGATATTAGTGATATGTTAAGTATCTAATGGATTTGAAATTTCTATCTTGCAATAAATTAATAAGCTTGGAAATAAATCGTGGTAGTACATGTAAATGCTAATGATTAGGATTGTTTGTAGTGCTAATAGGAATAAACATATAGATAAATTTAGGCGTTGTATTTTGCAGCTGTTTGGGTTTAGAAAGCTCGCTGAGGATCAAATTTTTCTACTATAATTATCACATATTGAATCAATGAATTATTTTTCTGAGACATTGATATTCAAAATTAAGATACAGATAGGAGTATGTATTCTCTGGCTGCAGGGGTAAGAACCGAACATTTGCAGCAGGTTCAGTTCATTACGCCACTAATTTAGATAGCAGACATCTCGTGTACATAACTATTATGATTGGTATTATAACCGAATCTCAAAATTAGAAGTGTTGCGTAACAATCCGTCTAAGCAAGAACTATTCCACAGATTATAAAGGAAAATGGAACGCTTTATTAGAGAATCCATAGTTACGACAGATTTTGACCCTACACAGCGAATGTCTACGATTACAATGGGAGGATTAAAAACATACAGAACAAAAAAAAAAATGATATTCCATTATTTATTCCCGAAAAGTTTCGATGCTATCTATAGAACTACGATGGTCATATACGAGTGTTACTCCACCGTATTGACAGACTATATAACTCTTACAATGTACAGCGTTAAGCCAGTTCTTCTTCAAGTGATATGGCATGAGATGTTATTGAATTTTTATTCCAACTCCTACCTAGCAGGAGTTACTTAATACGCTAAATTATCACTGAGGTGTTTGGAGCATGATATCTTTTGCTACCTTCAGAAGTAGTCTAAGGCCGGTATTCAATTAACGACGAGGGACATACGTTTTCAAGACACGCAGGATCTCAGTATTTTACATTTTTATTATCCATCAAGCATATTCTGGCTGATGATTGCATAATAACTAGCACTCTGGCTCTCGGAGCCACAGGTTTTAGACCACAAATACAAAAAGAAAAACATCTCCTTTCTCGAAACTACCAGTAGGCAGGAGGCCTTTTCCAATTATGGGCTTATGCGCTAATGAAGAAATTGTATAATAATTAGTATACTACAATTCACTGCTGATAAATTTGTAGAATTTTACAAAAAATTTGGTAAATACCTCAAACAATAAAAGGAACAGTATATTATAATGATATACTCGATACATTTTTGATTCATAATTTGAATAAATAATAAAAAGCTGTTAATTTAAGAAATATTTGTTGATTTAAGCATCAAATCTGTTTTGAAGATTAAAAAATGTTGCTGTTTCTTATCCCACTTGGCTGGCCAAGCCCACGAGCCCATACGTACTCATGATTGAAGGGGAAGGAAGCAGCTTCTGTTGTGATGGAGCACCCGTAGGTAGAAGTCTTACTTTGGCTCCGTGACGCTCTTACAGTCATAGGAGACCGGGACCTACGGCTTAAAGTGGATTTCGAACCACTACAAACGTCCATGGCACCGCCGGGATTCGAACCCGAAACCTGTAGCACCGAGCGCCAGAGTGCTAGACACTCGGCCATTCAGGTCCCAAATGTGTGAATGCCAACGGCACGCGGTGTTCTAGGTGGCCACCCACCTAAGTACTGACCGCAGCACCCAATGATGCTTGACTTTGGTGATCTAACGAGAAACGGTATATTCAGCATGGTATGGCCGTTGGCCAGCATTAAAAATTAATACGATAAGTAATATAAACATTACATTTTTTTCCAACTTTTATCAATTTATAAATGTGAGTAAGTTTATTTTATACATTAATTTCGGTGCAATTGCATCAAAACGTATAATTTGAAATTTATTAAGTTACATACAGTTTGGGATATACTCTTATTATTAAAAAAATCCTTCCGTTAAAGTGTACATTGATTTATTCAAGTTTTTATATATATCTGAAATAAATGTTAACTAATTAAATGACATCAATGATTTAAATATAAATTAATTAAACATAGAAATATAGAAATTAAATAAATTTTATAATTTTGAATTCTTGGAAATTAATTTGGAAGGAAAAAATTAAGTATAAAGAATTGGTTGATTGAAAATCAAAATCAAATCTATGGAATTCTTGGCATTATTATGCTATCCTGCACATGTAGAATATTTGGTGGAAATTAAATTATACAGTAGTAATGATTTATTATAAATTGCCTTTTACAACAAAACTAGCCTGTCAACTTTTAACAATAAAATAATGCTTTTGGTCATTAATTTGAATTCTTTCAAAGCACATTGGATCACAAAATATTAGTGGTAAGTACTAAGAGTGCTTTTTAAAATGAGATTGATAGTCGGGAAATATGTCGTATGTTACTTTTAAAATGCAGTTTTAAATATTACTTTATTTTTTCTTGGGTTTTAAAAGAGTCATACCAAAAATAAAGCATAGTTGAAAAGTTTGATAAATGTGAATAAAATCTCAAGGACCTTTTTTACATCTTCCTTTGAGAAATAATTAGTCATTTAAATTTGTGTGAAAATTTGTTACAGAGAAGTTTTGATGTATTTCAAAATTTTATCATAGAAATACAAATCGTGGAATGTGTAATTTAATGTGAGATTTGTAAATAAAAGTTACTAAAATAATGATACTTTAAACATTATGACTTTTCTTATAATTACTATACAAGAAAATTAAATACCATAATAAAAAAGACTCCCCTTTTAACAATTGAATTTCAATATATTTTTATTTAATTAAAATTGAAAAATCGAATCAATTATTAGTGAAATTGAAATAATTACTTTTCTTTCAATTTTAGATTTCGTAAATTTTTGTGCTGTTAATCTATTGATAAATCATTTTAAATATATTTAATTTAATTTAAATTTATTAAATATTCAAAATAAATCGAATTTTTTGAAATAAAATATAGTTGACTAATATTATACTTTAGATTTTTCTTACATTTAAAGCTATATATATGTATATAAACCGGTTGGTTGTTGTCCATTATTTTTATCCAAGGAAAAAAACCTAGAAAAAAATTTAGAAATTAAATTTATAGAATATTTTATTATAAAAAGCATTTTTATTGATACTTTTTTTTCCCACCAATAGGTCTATTAGAAAGAGCTAAGAATAATAAAAAATAAAATAAATAAATTTTCCAAAACTAAAATATCTCTTTTGTATCATCAAATGAAATCTGCTTGTGGCATGCAAGTTTCCAAATTGTTTCTCTTCTGTAATTTCACGATAAAATAAATTCTGACTTCGTATGATTACCCCTTCATAACTTTTGATGCTAGAGATGCTATTGACGAAAGCCGACCGTCCATTTACATAATAGGGAGCCATATACATCAAAACGAATCACTTTCCAAGAAGAGTCCTTACGGTAAATGAAGAAATATGCTGTGATATCCACCGATATCTTTAATCTTAGAAATGACAGAGAAGTGTAGTGATTTCTTTTTGAGGGTGACTCTGAAAATGAAGTTGTGAGGTTACTTGAAAATTACTTACTTTTTGTTTATTTTTCTCAATTTTCTTATATTTAATATCTTTTCTTTTGAATGTAGATCTTAGATTTGGAGAAATAAATAATGTAAGAAGATGTATTTTTATAATTTGTAATTTTTTTTCAGATTGCTAATAAATAAAGTTTAATGCCAATATTTATTTTTAATTTTAAAACATATTAATGATAAAAGATTAAATATGTCGATATTAATGCGTTATGTCGATGTTTTATAACCGTTTTATTAAAATTGTATGTGAGCTCAAGCTAGTTAATCTTAATGATAAAAAAAAAAAAATATCGATTATTTTAAATTTCGCAAGCTAAATGAAGCTGTGATTTCAATGTTTGTGCCTCATACTATTGTGAAATAAATTGAACTAATACTGTTCTTTTTTCCTTTTTGGTGTTATATATTGGATGCTAAGCACTATATTTTACAACAATAGGCAATTATAAGTCATGTTTCGCATTACTAAGTAATACTATTGTTACAACCATTACTACTATTACTAATAATACATAGTATAAACACATTAGAAATAATGATTAAACATTAGAAATAATGATTGACGTATCTTTTCTTCAAAAATTCGTGTTAAAATAAAAGTTCATTTAGTAAACATGCATATTAACGCAAAATGAGGAAGCAAGCTGTGTCTACCAGAAGATGTTTCAAGGGCAATTGTTCTTACGTAAGCAATAAAATAAAACTTTCATCGTGAAGTAATGAGTGATATATAATATATACCGAATCTAGACAAATCTTGTTTTCAAAGTCACCAAAGTAACGAACGCCCTTAACGGAAATAGAATTAAAAATAGTAATGGTTAGTTTAAATGTTATTACAAGAACCAGCAATTATGTAATTATAGATAATGACAGACAAAATATAAGAACTAATAAATTACAATTATTGAAGCATTACAGGAAATTTTGCAAATTATGAGTAATTGAAATTTGAAGAAAATATTTTTGAATTTCAATGATCAGTTCTCTTGAAGTGTCCATTTCCACATATAAAATAAATTAGTAAAGGAAAAATTAAAATGCATTTTATGAGATAGTTACAATACATAGTTGGAGTATTTAAAAAGTTTAACTAACTTACTAACTTTAAACTATGTATTATTTTGCTAAATTGACTAAACCAGTTTATATAATACATGTAATTGTTTAGTCTTTTAATTTAAAAGATATTATCTTAAGAAAAAGTCACACTTAATAAAAAAAGTCACTGTTAATGTGAAGTATGATTTGAAGAAAATATGTATTCATATTCAATTACTGATAATTGAATATGTAAATTGAATATTCTTTTTATTAATTAAGCAGCATTTGAAATATCAAAACCATTAGAGGAATTTATTATCCATTATTATTTAAATAGGGCCATTACAAAGAAGTGTGCTTTTTAAACATGCTGAACAATTACTAACTCATTATAGACTGAACGAGTTATTTAAATAGCTTAAATGAAAGGCAGGGACCTGAAATTTAATTAAATCTGGGAAATTTTCGGCGATCTAGATGATAAAAAGTATTTCTTAATCAAAGTGATTATTCCTCTCAGCTAAAATCCCAAACTCCTTAAACGCTCAGAATGTATCTTCATTAATATTAAAAAAAAAAAAAAAATGAAAAAAATAGGTATTTGGCACAATATTTCTAACTTGTAACTTAATAAAGTGTTTCTTAAAATGCAAAATATTAATGAAGTTTACCTTAATTATATAGTTGTAAATAAATAAAAGTGTAACTGTGCTTCCTCATTACACACTAACCAGAGCGCCCCCTTTGGCGTTCAGGAGAAATGATCAGTCTGAGTCAAGACTCTCACCCGAGGGGAAGTATAGCACCAACTACAGCCCGTTTAGCTTACAGTCTCTCATCACGAGAGGAAATACATTTAGCGCATCTCGGTGCATTAGTTAGCCTACAGACTCTCACCCGTAGAGGAAGTATATTTTGGGCACAATGCACGTATCCGAATTTAGGTTTTCGGTTCATTTTCGTCTATAATTACGAACACCACGAGTCTATAATTATCTGTCTTTAAATGTGTTAAATAATATATGTCTCTAATTGTACGTGTGTCAATAAAGCTGAGTTCTCCAAACTGTGCCTCACGTATCTCAACCTAACCATACTCAGATATAATCTTGTTGCCCAACCTACATACTACAATCTGGTGCCCAAGGTGGGGCTAGTACCAACACACATTACAAAATAAAAATTAATTATTTATATTCGTTCATTCTATTTATTTTTTAAATAAGTTTTAACTAATGATCTTTTTAAATCAATGATTCACTAAAATGTTTTATTCACAAGAATATTCACAAACAAATTTTGTAATATAGACTCTCAAAATTTTTAGTACATTATAAAAAAAAAAAAAAATATGAAAGCAATAACTTTTTAATAATTGAAACTATTGTAACATAAATATCGAAGCGGTACGAATATAGTTTTCAAATATAAAAATACAAGATATGATTTGAAGACTTTAATGGCAAAAATATTCTCCTCTTCATCTTCTACAGTTTACAAAAGGGAGAGCATTAAATAAAAAAACCTATTTAAACGAAACAATGTTCCTGGATTGTTTATAAGCGTTTATGTGTGAATAAGATGCGAAGGTACTTAGAATATTCTTAAGGGGAATCTTTATCTGAAAAACTTCCGAATGGAGTAAAAAGGGAATTTCTCAAAAGACTGTAATGAGACACGCGATCAGAATTGTGGATGAATCATAAAACGGTTCAGTCTGAAATATGGAGGAGTGCATTTGCCATAAATTTCTCTTCGTTAAACCATTTCAGGATAAAAAGCATTTAGATCCTTATGATTCAGTGGTAGCTCAAGTTGTATTTTAGTCGACAATTTATACAAGTATTTCCAATGGATCGCATTGCTATGTTGTTCAAAATCATATTAATATTATTTTTGTTTTTGTTTTAAATTCAAAATGTAAGGAATAAGAAATTTACCTCGCACTTCGTAACAAAACCATTAATTTTTGGAAAGATATTTTTAAAATATTGCACGCTTTTAATAAATTAAACGGATTCTAAAGTATATAGTTTTGTAATATAACTGGAGCGTCTCAATTTATGTATGCCACGTGCAATCCAAAGACGGGGAATTGTTTTCTTTTGGTAGAGGGGGATGGAAGATTGTTTCGCTTTTT